GTTAGCGATGGGACAGGAGCTTGTTCACTACTCGTAGTTGCATTATGTCAGAAATTGCTCAACTAGTTCTTGAGCGCTGAGCTGCTTTGTGACACCATTATATAGACATTTGTTTTATGATCTGCTCAGCTCAGATGGAAACGGCTCCCTTTTGACCTGAAAAATCAGCAATCAGGAAACATGCATCTGAAACGGGAAAAATCGACAGACTGTCGGTCCCGTTCTCATGTTCATGCTCAATTCTCTGCGGATACCTACAGAAACATAATATTGCAAGTCGTTCTGCAAGAGCAGACTTATCCCTATCAGATCTGCCCTCACCTCTGATGCGGGAAAAGGATCATTGAAAATGTATTGCCTACGACTTCAGGAATTTCAGCGAGAACTGCAGGTGAATCCAATCTGGTAGAACGGACATTACACGCAGCACAGGCGAGTGGTTACCCAGTCATGGACATCCCTGTCAGGTAACGACTTCAGGAGTTTCAGCGAGAGCGAACAGCGAAGAGCGGTCGCACTGAACCTTATCGCAGAGAGACGAACGAACATTTCACATCCCATTCATAGGAACCTAGTGCGACCATGCGCTCCTGTATAAAAAAAGACTGGTTTCCAAGATATAACGACGGTTATTGGTATTCTCCCTGTTAACAGTTGGAGCGATTGGCCCAACCCCTTCCTATTGTGTGTCCTTACGGCAAGGGAAAGGATTCTATGACAACTAACGTAGTGGATGTTATACGGTGCCAGGTGTGTAAAGAGAGTACATTGGGAGAGCTGGTAAAAGTGTTTGCATTTGCGTAAAGAAACACTTAGAAGGGATGGATGAGTAGGAATGCTACTCTGGCAGAGAGCAGGTACACTGCTATGAGAACACGTGCTTAGGGTCAGCAGTCACGGTATTATAGGGTCAGCAGTCACGGTATTATCACATGAATTTGAAATTGCGGCCCGTGTTACGTTAGAATCTTTTTGAATCATTTGCAAGACTTCTGAAATTATCAGAGAGGACGTATGTGTCGCGGCCGCTACAGAGCTGACCCACATTAGGATGTTTGTAGGTTTTTACATTCGTGGTCCATCCAATGCGAGCTTTTGCGGCGTGTTGCGGGGCTGATACCGTAATCGAGGAGACGGTAATAGCTGTGTTGCCGTGGGCTAGTACGGTCGGAAAACGTGGTTCGGCATCCGCGAAATGATGGGGAGTATCTGGAATCTGTGGCCAAAACCAAGGGCGACAACGCTCGGAATGCGTTTTTCGTACCGTCCTCAAAACCTTTCTTTTTTAAACCTTTTCTTTTTTTTAGAATCTCGATCTTTTCTCCAGAAATGCCTACCCTTTCACGCATGTAACGCTAACAGGTATGCTGTCCTGGACTAGAATGGACGGAAAATGTGGGTCATCGCGCACGAATTCGTGAGGGACATCTTGTATCTTTGGCCAAAGATCGTGGATGAATGAGGTGCTTCAGCTGCGCTCTTGGCCTGTAGCTGTGTCTGGAGTTATCCTACATCTCGAGGTCCCTCAAGGGGTTGTCCTGAGGCTTAATCTATTCAAACTACATTACTACCCGCACACAGATGACAGGTTGACCTCCTTCAGCCTTCACAAATACCAATTTTGAAAGTTTACATGATGTCTGTGAAGTCTGTGACCCCTTTGACCTTTGGCCGTATTTTGTGATGGCGTTTGAAGGGATAGCTCCTTCATTGCCTTCAATATTTTCAGGGTTGGAAGATAATATTGACGAAACGTCAGCTAAAGGATGACCATAAAAAATCATGGCGAGCAATAAAAACAAGATATAGGCGCGTACTGGAGACGTGTTCATGTTTGGCATACAGCCGAAACTACAATACGGCCTGATTCGGCGGTTTCCTTTCGCACTCCGGAGAAAAAGTTCTACAGCTGGTGCATGACCACTTAACAAGTTCCTGTGGCAATCTTGGGCAGGGCTCGACAGGAGGACAGGAGGTGTACTGGGAACTGGGGTAGTAGGGATAGCACAGCAATGATTAATCGCACTGCGAAGGATTGTTTCAAAATTCCCATCTCGTTCTGGAGATGAACTTCTACCGTGGCGTAGTCGTGGCTTGTGCCGTTTGATAGTGACATGAATGTTTGTGGAAGTGTTAAATCATATGTTCTCGAATCGTCTAAGAAAATGGTTTACTCGTAAAAAACAAACTCTTAAATATGAAAACGGAAAACATTGCCGTATAACACTGTGGTAGTGACGTTGCTTGTATCGCCCTAATGAAGCAGCTCTTAGCCGTTGACCAATAGCCTTGCCACCATCTTGTTGATTTTCTTGCCTGCAAGAAACTTTTTGACTATTCTCCCTAGTTGGTGACATCCTGTACTCACTCGTGAATGCGTGAACTGTTATAGGGAACTGCTTCTTGAGGTCTTCCTGAGCAGCCGTGGGCAGTGCCTTGAACTTTTCGATTACCTGCTGAGCCT